GAACCCCAAGAACTTCCCACCTTGAACAGCAAAACTACATTTTTTGGGATTCAGTCGGAGATTTACCTTCTTCATGATAGTGAATACTTCTCTCAGGTCATCCGCGTGGTCATCCGCCTTTTGGCTCTTCACGATCATGTCGTCAACATATGCCTCCATGTTTCTTCCGAGCACTGCTCGGAAAACCTTGGCCACCATCCGTGTATAGGTAGCCCCAGAATTCCTCAGCCCAAAGGCCATTACTTAGTAGCAAAAAACTCCTTCGGGCGTGATGAACGAGGTCTTCTCCGCGTCGTCGGGGTGCATGGAGATTTGATGATATCCCAGAAACGCATCCATGAAAGAGAGGAGTTCGCAGCCGGCGGTCTGATCTACGAGCTGGTCAATGTTGGGCAAAGGAAAAGGATCAATCGGGCAAGCCTTGTTTAGGTCTGTGTAATCTACGCACATCCTCCAAGTGGGTGGCTTGGGGGCCAGCACCACATTAGCGAGCCATTCCGGGTACTGTACTTCCCTTATATGCCCAATGCTCAACAACATGTTTACTTCATTCTTTACGAACTCCTTTCTGTCCAAGGATAGGTATCTCCTTTTCTGCTTTACTGGCGTTATTTTTGGATCCACATTCAATCGATGAACAACGATGCTTGGGTCGAGCCCGGGCATATCCTCGGATCCCCAAGCGAAAATCATCTTGAATTTTACCAGAACTTGGACTATCTCCACTTTCAGGTCGGCCGGGAGTCCTGCCCCAATTTTCACTTGGCGCTCTGGCCGTGATGGGTCGACCCCGACCTCTTGGAGCTCTGAGGCTAGCTGGGCTCTGAGTTGCTCGTCCTCATATTTAGATAGGTCTTGTTCAATGGCATTGATCCTCATGTCACTTCCCCCGTGAGTCTTGCAGGCCCTCACATAGCAACTCCTGGCCATCTTCTGATCCCCTCTCACCGTGCCAATCCCAGCTGGAGTGTAGAACTTCATGCATAGGTGGGTCTAGGAAATAATGGCTCCCAGGTCCTCCAACAGGGGTCTGCCCAGGATGGCCTTGTGTACGCTCGGTATTTGGACAATGATGAAGTCCGCTTCAATCTCCCGTATGCAGGGTTCTGATCCGAGTTGGATCTTGAGGGTTATCATTCCCTCGGGCTCAATTATATCTCCAGTAAAACCTGAAAGGGGGGTTCTTACCGGTTTGAGATCTTCTTTCTTGAGCCCAACCTCAAGGAAGGCATCCATATAAAGAATATTGACCGAGATGTCATTGTCCACCAGCACCCTGTGAACGATCGTGACTGCGACCTCCATCTTGATCACTAGCGCGTCCCTATGTGGTGGGGGACATGGGGGGAAATTGTCATCCCTGAAAGTTATTGACTCATGTTTATGCCTTTTATCAGCGGGAAGACGGCTGATCTCGCCGACGAATAGTTGGTGATTCCACTTCTTTCTTTCTCCCGTCGTATCCCCCCCCACAGGTCCGCCGTAGATATGGTTGACGTGAGGTTGTTTTTGTCTGGCGGTGTGCTCTCCTTCATCGTCATCTTCAAATTGGGCCCCAACCTCCCTCTTCTTCGAGGACGAGGTTGGCGCGTCCTTCTTGCGGCTCCAGGTAAGTTTTCTCGCTGGAGGCTGTCCTTGCTGGGCTTGCTTTACAAATTGCTCCAACTGACCCTCCCGCACGAGCTTTTCTACATACTTCTTCAAGATGTAACAATCGTTGGTCTGATGAGGGTCAATTTTGTGGATCTTGCAATACTTGTTCTTGGGATCCTGACTGTGGATGATGTTGCACCCCTCAGGGGCGGCGATCAAGCCCTGCTTCGCAGCATAATCCAGGACAGTACTTACTTGATGCGCAGAAGGGGAGAAATCTATGTGGCTGGTCAGCGGCCCCTCAGGCACACCTGATTTGCCTTTTCCCCAGCCCTTCTTCTTCTTTCTGAACCTATTCCCCTTGTCGGAGTCAAGGGTTTCCTTCTCAAGGGTCTTCTTCTTTTCGCCCTCAGGTTGGCGCTTCCTGGTCTCTTCGTCTCTCTTTCTTCTCTCAGCTTCTTCTACTCCGGCTTGCGTGTTTGCTCGCTGCAGGGCCTCCTTGTGTGAGGCCGGAGGGTTTCAGACAAAATCCTTGTACAACTCGCCCGATCTCAGAGCATTGGTTAGTATGGCGACTGCGGACTTGTCATCCAGGTCGTCCACCTTCACGGATTCGTCCCTCCACCGGGTAAAGATATCAGCCAAGCTCCCCTGGGGTCCCTGTCTGATCCCCAAGAGATGAGAAAAATTCTTCTTAGAATCCTTAGAGCTAGCGAACCGAGTCACAAAAGCATGGGCCAACTCCCTAAAGTTCCGAATCCTCCCATTAGGTAGGGAATCATACCACTCTCGGGCCGGTCCGTCAAGCGTTACCGAGAATCCCCTGCACTTGATGGCATCTTCATACCCCATCATCACCATATATGCCACGTATCTGGAAACATGGTGATGTGGGTCTGTCTTCCCTCGGTATGCCTCTATATTGCAAGGTTTGTATCCTTGGGGTAGCGGAGCGTCCATTATCTGACGAACAAATGGTTCAGGAATCCTCACCTCATGGTTGGGATTAATCCTTGTGTCCACTTCCCTTCGGAGCTGGTCTAGCCTCCTCCGGAGATCTTCATTGCCTTGGCCCGCCTGCTGCCGAGGTGGGGATCGTCGATGCCTGCGGCCCTGCCGGTTAGCGTTGATCTCGTCTCTGAGATCTCTCCCACGCACACTGCGACGGTGGGATGAAACAGCCGCGGATGACGCCTCCATGCTCGGCTCAGGTTGGGATGAGATCCGGTCATGCACGGAGACCCTTTGTCCACCAATCCGGTCCATCACCGAGGTCCTCGGAGTTTGCCTAGAATGACGGGAACGCTGGGATCGGGATGGCAGAGAGCCCCTCCTGGAATGCTCGTGCCCCTCCTCCTGTCGGGATACTGACGGAGCCCGGCGAGGTGAAGGGGATCTCGCACCCTCATTAGGGATGATGCCTTGGAAAGCGGTGGTCAGGGTTTCCACCGCCCTTTGGAATGTTGCTAAACTGGCTAGGGCCTGAGCCGGATCGATATTGGGAATACGGCTCCCAGTACCAGGCGTCTGAAACTGCGGTGGTCGTGTTGCCGCCCGCCTAGAACATTCAACGCCTTGGAGGCGGTTTCTCAGGTCCTCCAATCCCGCCGTGTTGTCGTTACGCCTTCGAAAGTCACTCCGTCGTGACCGAGAGCCTTCATCTTCAAATACTACTTGGTCGTGACGATTACCGCCCAGATTGCTGCCTCCCGGTTGTGGCTATGAGATCCCACCATGGTTCGTCGCAGATCGAGCTCTCAACGAGAGCACCAAATGATGGAGTTTAATCCAACAACAAGAGCTAAATCTACGGAAGCTGATGATAATTTGGCAGCGTAAGACAATGTTTTATTGATCAAGATCTCTCCCCTTTTGGAGGTTTACAAGTTGTATTTATAGGCTAAGGAACTAGTGTTACAAAAGGAAACTGATACAATAAATGTTATTAATGATGCATTAGCTCGAATAGGACTCTTGTAACGTCTCGGCCGTTGTGCAATGATTGTTCCTTTATCCCACGTTCCAGCCGTTTAACTTCTACCAGCTACCGTTTCCACTGATAGCGTGCCACATCAGCCCTAGGAATATCCCAGCCTCACTAGAACTCCGCCCAGGCTCGAGACATGCTTTCCAGCCAGGTCTAACTGTGGGTTCTTCTCGCGGGCTTGGTTCCTAGTTAGGCCCAATGGTTATCTATCATTAATTCCGTTAAAGGTTAATCTCGTTCATGGGCCGGACTCACACAATTGGGCCATGGTTGGGTTCCATGGTACCATCACTAACTATCTAAACATAGACCAAAAGTGATATAGAGCAAATTATCATTCAAAATCCAGTTATTTAATTCATCAAAAACTAGTATGAAAATATCAAATAAATAATTGTGTTTCCAAATATCATTTCTTTGATAGTTCGATACTAGTTTTAAGTGCCTTAAATGATTGGATTTCTTATTGAAAATTGACTCCATATTATTTTAGTTTTATATCGAAATGGTTGGTATTATTAAAAATCATTTTAAAAGTATGTATTATTATTAGTTTATTGATGATAGTTAGTATTATTTAAAGTTATTTTTCCATTTTAATATTAAGAAAGTGCAAAATATAAAAGATACAAAGTGATACTTCTTTCTAAATATTAATAAAATGAAATCTAATCTTCCTATTAAAATATCGAATGGTTTTAAAATTAGTTACAAATCAATACAAAATCATTAATTTGCAAAAGAACCCAAAAATTTAGATTTAGACAAATTTAAATACTATAAAATCCTAATTTTGAAAATTTTATACCATTTTATATGTTTTCTAAGAAAATGAGTTGATAATTGGGATTATTAAAAGAATAACGAGCATAATTCAAATTATTTATAGAATAAGCATAGTGTATATTAAAAAGTGGCCTGCTATAAAAGGTGGTCATGGACCATTATTGATGGAAAAGTCATATAGTTGGAATTATATAGAAATAATCAGGAGATTATTTGACAGTAGTTGACATTATTATTTTCATTTTTTCTTTTTTAAAATTATTAATATATGCACCACACTTTTAGCAATTAAACGCCACTACTGGCAATATTCTCTAACTTTGGACTCATATATTGATTGTTTAAAAAATGCTATGTAAATTTAAACTTAGATGAAAAGAGGCTACAATTTCATCCCATTTAAATTTGTATGCAAATGCTATGTAAATTATAATATTGATAAAAAGAAGTTTCGTTTTTATTTATTTATTTATTATTGGTGTTTCAATCAACCTTAAACACTCACCTATGCTTTTATAGATTTATTCAATTAGATGGGGCGGTGGGGGGGTCTATTGGATGGTCTACTTGACATGGCTATGGCTCTATTTGCAACTCTCTTTACTTCTTTCGTAGACATGATGACAAAGTTGGCAGTAAACATAAAAAATTTAACCATAGAGAGCTCCAATGATCCAAGACCTTCTTAACTACACAATGATTTTTTACAATGTTTGGGAATGCGATATAGAATGGGAATCAAAGATGGATTAAATATAAAAAGGTGGAGATTTATTATGGCCAATAAGGGGTGTGTGGGAGTGTGCCCCTTGTGTGCTTACTTAGATCATGAAAGTCATTCGTGGAGCCCAGCTAAAGGATCTGAGGTGGTTGATAGGCTGGGGTGAAAAGTTCAGTCCAAACATAGCCTTGGATGCCTCGTTTGGCTCTATGATCCCAACTAATTTGGCAACAAGTGATGCACTTTGCTTTAGATGATCCATGTCTTTGCTGTCTTTCCACAGCTTATTGCACAGCTGAAGTCTTCTTTTCTTGGTATTAAGCCCAACTCCCCATTTCTGAAACAGATTGTTTCTCTCGGTTCCACTCAATACCTTAAGCATCTGCCTGCACAACATTTCCCTTTCCCTCTTCATGCCTTTTATGCTGTTCCCATTCCCAGCACATGTTTTATTTAATACACAAGCATAAAGAGCGTGCTAGATTGTGAGCTTTATTCATTACTTAATGTTAAAAACTTAGAAAATAAGGTGGGATAACAGACCAAGACAAACTATTCACAGACTTGGATGCCCTTTGGAATTTTATAAGCCCAACAAACCAAACAACATATAAGAGCTTGCTAGAGTACAAGTTATTATCTTAGACCTAGACAATTAGAGAAGAATATCCATGGGCAGGGCTGTGCCTTTCTTAAGGCAAGTGAGGCCATTGACTCGGGGCCCCATAAAATTTAAAAAAATTGGGGCCCAAACTTTATATGTATACATACATATGTTTGTTTCCCTTGACAAAGTTTCAGCCCTTTTCATATCAAACAATTTTTTCCCATAGCTCAATTAGAATGTATTATCTACATCTCACAACCATAATGTGATAATATGTCAATTTTGGAATTAGTAATTATTGTGAACATTATTTATTTTTTACTTGTCACTTTGTCAGTTATTTGATAGTTTTAACTATTTAATTAATTGAAAATTGCATTTTTATACTTCATTAAACAAATATATATATATAATACGAGTAAAAGGAAAGGACCGAAAGGTAAACAAGAACAAAAAAAAGTACCTTGCGGCCTCTGTTGTTATTTGGCCATCTTTTACTATTCCTTCTCCTTGAGACCATGAATTCTTGAGAAACTGTAACCGTCTAAGCTCCACCTCCATGTAAACGGCATCTGATGGATCTCCTTTAAAGAGAAGGAAAAAATATGTTCTGTGGACCAATGGCATATGGCAAACATCCCAAAGCTCAATGATTTCTCTTCTCTGCCTCTCGAATTCCTGTGACCACTCGGAATTCCTTACAACTTCTGCCAATGCCTCAGTCTTCAGATCATCCTTCGGGAACTACATAGGCAATGTATATAACATAACCTTGTTTGCCTATGGTAACATTTTATAATATCGCATTCCATGAACCAAGTAGTTTAGGAGGTTAAGGAATTAGGATTACAGCCTTAGACCCCATTCATTGTGGTAATCTATTTTCAGTTTTTTGAAAACTAAACCCGATTTTGGGAACATGTAAAAGCGGTTTTGGGTTGGCTTTCAAAACCGACATGATTAGTATGAGTTGGCTTGGTTTATTAGACAGTAAGTCAGTAACACTTAAACCCAAAACCATAAACTGCAATCACGCCGAACGTGAATTAAGATTATGGGAAATTAAGATGGCGTTAAGGGGATGTTTGGTTCCCAGAATGGTATCCTAATGTCATAAAAAGTGTTAGAACAAAGACAAAATAGTACAAAGTATTACCAAGGTAATCCTCCAATACCTAATAAAGTCAAGGTAAACACATTATCCGAAACATTTTTTTACCTCATTGTCAAAGGCTCGCTCCTCAGGCACCACACAGTTGGGGTCATCACAAAATTGATTTTCAGGCATAGCTTCAACATCTTCATAAGCTATGACATCATCACCCATTGATATCTTAAACTTATGTTCCTTAACAATTACATCCAAGAAGTCATCACCATCATTGGCACCACTTTTGGATTCTGTAGTGAATGCCTTACTTCCATTGTTAACTTCTTCATCCTTGGCACCTCCAGAATCAGTTGAATCTATGTCCATTTCTATACATTGAACTTCTTTGCAACTATCAGCAAAACTATGATCAGATCCATGAAGAGTAGGAGGAATCTGCAAATTCTTGCATGGTTCAGGTCCGAAATACCTGTTGATGAAGAGCCTCGGGGAGGTATCATCAGAGAGAAATGGCTCCTCAATGGCTGCCTTATCATCAACAATTCGTTCTTCTTCAAATCTGGATGATGATGATGATGATGATGATGAAAAAGGCCCCTCCATCTGGACGAAAGGAGTATCTGATGCTTCAGATGCTGTATATTCTTCAGGGGTTTGAAATTCATTTTCTGATTGGTAACTCATCTCCGTCTGTAAAAGAAAGGAAAATGTTATAAACCATGCATATCACAAAATAAATAAATAAATAAAACAAAAAAAAGTTTATGTATATTGTGTTCATACCCATGATGATCTTGAATGTAACAAACTCTGCATCCGAGATTGAGCTATGTCCCGTTGCATCATCAACTCCCTCATTTCCTTGTCCATCTAGATGATATCATGACATTAATGAGGCAGATAGAGGTAAAGGGGATAGAAAAAGGAGGGTATAATAAGTGGTATAATATTGAATACGGAACTTAATGATGTGATAAGTCTTGACTATAACAAGTTCAAGCTGGTAATTGAACTTTAAAATCGTGTATGTTTATGGAGCTAGTACAATGTCCAATTTCATGACTATATACTATCCTCACTTTGGTCCTTGACATTTTGTGATACTCAATTCTGTCCTCATATATGCAAACCAGACACAATTTGATTCTCATACTTATACGGTTCTAAATAAGAAGGTTATTTTCATCAAATCACAGAATTAAGACCCAATTTTGAGTTTCATTAGTCCTCAATTTTGCAATTGGGCCCCAATTTGGACCTCAACAGATGAACATACTTTTGATTGTTACAGTAAACTATGGAAGTTGACAAGTTGTCAAACTCAAGGGTGTAGGTAAACAAACTCGTGGAGGCTATTTTAACTCGTCTAGCAAACTCATAAAATTGTTACATGTAAGTAAACTATATCAAAGAAACTTAAAACTTTTTAAACAACTAATTCAATTTTTCAACTCACTAACAAATAAAATAGCAAAAACAAATACTACGAGTATAATAAACCAGCACAATTTATTATTACATTACAACTAGACAGGAACAAACCACCCAAAATCATATGTGATCCTAAATTTATGTTCGAGGAAAAGGATCTGATAGGAGCATGAATAAAGAGAATGATAATAGCAGTGTTATCAAATTCTATGACAAAGTGTACCAAAGAAGAAAGAGGAAGGACTTACTTAAATAACTATCTGATTTGGGCTGCACACCATTTGGCCCAAACGTCAGTAGATTGTTTGAAATCTTACTCAAATCCAGGTCTTTTCCGGGTTTCGCTAAACGGGCCTATTGGATGGATTTTTTTGGGATTCCTTCTTTTACATATTAATTTTGTATTATTCGGTTTTGGTTTTCTGTTTGGTATTGTAATACTCTGTTTTTTTATTAATAATATTTGGTAAATGTTCCACAACATTTACCCCACTGATTTTGGTGGGTTACCTACCAGGTTTAAAAAAAAACTAACTGATTTGGTTAGTTAGGTAGCGGGTACAAGCTGTTTTGAGGAGGGAAAGATTGTAAATAAATAGTAACAGGGAAGAATCACAATTTATACCGTGGGATCGACCCACCATGAGCATGGTGTGCCGATCCCAAAACTACGCCGTTTTGTTAAATAAAAAGGGAGCACAGATGAACTCCGGCGGCCGTCATCTGTTCAAATTGCAATCACCTCCCTCTGGTCGTCGACGCCTTGCGCTTCTCGTCGCTAGCCATGGACAAGCCATCGCTCGTCACCGACAGGGATCTGCTACCCTGTACTTGTCGCTCACCACCTCCATCTCCGAGCAGAAGAAGGAAGATCTTTCTTGGGGTGGAGATTGTGTTTGGCTTAGGCAGTTAGGCGGCCGCTCTTATGTCTGGTCATCTCGGTTGATGGGAGGAACGAAGCTTTCTGAAGGGATAAGAGAGTTACACCTATGTAAAGGGTTTTTTACATTTCAATGGGCTAAAGTTACATTCCCAAGTTACATTTATCTGTTTTCCAAGTTACATTTCAATTTAAACAATTTACATTTTAACGAATTACATTCGAATTGGTGTAATTTACATGTTGATTCACCCCATTTACATCTCATATAACTATGGGAGCTTCACCCTGCATCCCTCCCACGTTATATAGTTAGGCAGGCTGTTTGACAGTTAGAAGTTGTCTTGGAGAGCCCCGGCACTCTCGAAATTGCCCAGAGACTGTTTCCCTGTATTCTCTTTCAGTTGAATATTGAATAAAACTGACTTTTCTTGTTCATGAGAAATCTGTAGCAGGTAGTTGTCTAACATTGGTATCATAGCACGTTAATCGCTGGGAGTAACCTGTACGCCAGAGAAGATGGAGAATAGGATGAATGAGCTGGAACAGAACTTTACCGAAATGAGAGCTGAGATACGAATGGTGACGTAAGCACTGTTGAAAAAGGGTCGCGATCAGACCAGGGGAAGATCGCACACTTCTCATCACCGACGAACAAGAGAATCGGAGAGTCCAGAAGCTTCGGAAGGTAAATCCGACCACTCGACTTCTAGTTTTGGTTGTGATAACAGTAGGAGACCTGTGAGAACTGGACAAAGGGTTGACCTACCGTTGTTTAATGGTGATGATGCGTACGGCTGGATTGTTAGAATGGAAAGATATTTTCGATTAAATCAAATATCGGAAGATGACAAGGTAGAAGTAGCTGTGGTCGCAAAGACTTGAAACATTTCCATGAAACTCCCGAGTTTGTATGAGTTTATACAAGTCCACTTGACTAGTGGACTTTACATTTTGGGACAAACCAAAATTGAAAATAAACAACAAAATGAGACGGAGAGAGTAAATATATAATTGAAATTAGGTGTTACTTCTTCTTTATATTACTCTATTTATCTCAGCAAAAGGATTATTGCTGCATCAGAGACTACGAAAAGTAGCATATTAGAAACTTGGACAAATGAACAACCACATAGAGACACTCAAATCTCAATCAAGTTTTAATCTCAATGAGTTTCTGTTAAATACTTGATTTCATTTTCTATAATGAATAAAGTTGGATGTTGTTAATAAGTATACCTTTTCAATGACACCTTCCTTCTCCTTGAGTACTAAAGCAGAATTTTCATCTGTGGAACGTGATTTCATTGCCCTCAATTCATTTTCGAGTCTTGCCAATTCTTTTTGCAACTGCCTCACTAACGCTTTATCGGACATCACCACGTTGACTTGTGCTTTGGTTGCAACTTGTTTAGCACAAGTAGCAAACAATAGAGTGTTTCTTGACTGCTCAACATGACTATGTGCAGGGCTCATTGTACAAATGATGGCAGTTCTAGCGTTTCCTCCTAGCGAGTTTTGTAGAATACGGGTTAGCTTAGAGTCTCTGTATGGGATGTGCCCATTTCTTCCTTTGCTGCTTAGAACATCATAAGAATTTACCTTTTAAGTTTTTATGAACTAAATATAAACAAACTCATCAAAATATAAGAGCCCAAGTATTAGCCTTAGCCTTAAGACCTAACAATTAAGGTTAAGGGGTTCATCTCTTATATGGTGGGTGATGTGTCTGGCCAGACATCGGCATATCATGGGCAATACACAGGCTCAAAACAACGTACAAGAGCTGAAGTATGAGCCTTAACCATAAAACCTAGACAATAAGATAAGAAAGTTATCTCTGATAGTATGGGGAATATGCCCTGAGCCCAGTCTGACTACAGATCGGCATAGTATTGACAACGAACAGGTTCTGATACCAATTTAAGTTTAAATTTAAACAGGTGAAGACCACATAAGAGCTGGAGTATGATCCTTTTTGAAATTTTAATTTAAACAGGCGAACACCACATAAGAGCTGAAGTATGATCCTTAACCATGAAACTTATGCAAAAAGAGCTGAAGTGAGAAAGCCTTAACCTTGAAACCTAGAAATAATAAGGGTAGTAAGCTCATCTCTTATAGGGTGAGTGACATATGTGGATGAGTTCTCTATACATTAATACTGATGATGAATGAAAAAGCATATTGGGGCTTGTAAATATATATAAACCTCACCTCAGTTTACGAATTACAGTCCCAAGTGTTAGCAAACTACGGTTAATATGGCAGCCTTCTTTTAGTCTTGTACCAGCTGATAATGTTTGTGATGCACGCTCGCTTCCCGCAAGATCAATAAAATTCTGCATAATGAAAACAGGGAAATAGTTACTATCACCTCAACTTGCCCTTGTTGCAGTTATACCAGCACTATATCACAAAATGTAGTTAATTATTAGTGTGAGGGTTTCCATACCACTGCAGCTGACAGAGTGCTATTGTTTTGAGAATGAGAATATTGTTTTGCAGAGCTTTCAACTGTCTGCAAATATGTAAATTTATTGCATTGTTAACTAAGAAGAAAATAAGTGTTACTCACTTAGTCTCATACTTGTTTTCTTCTTTACAATTCATTGGTCAAACAAACTATTTTTTTCATATATTTCATATAACATTTTTAATAAGGATGTTATGGTTTCTGGGTGTTTAACCGAGAAAACAAGATAGAGTAGGAATTCAAATGATAATGAATTCTAACAAGAAAGTTTAGAGATATTAGGGAAGAAGAAGACTCAGTATATTTCAGTTAAAACATTCATACATCAAATGGGCTAACTATATACAAATGAGCTGATCTAACCAACTAACTGTCCAATTAGCTAATAACCGTCTTTGGATGTTACTCAACTGCCAGCTCACTTCAGAGGTCCAATCCGCTGCTAACTTGTCCAGCTCATCACCTAGCTCCATAACAATGCCTCTCCCTCAAACCAGCTTGTCCTCAAGCTGCTGCATTTGTTTTCTCCACAAACTCTGGAACTTTTGTTGATGAATTCATCATGCAACTCCCAAGTGGCATCTTATTTTTCAGCATTGGACCATTGGATTAACCAATAAAGTGCAACCGCATTACCTCTTTTAGCTATCTTTCTGTCAAGAATAGCCACAGGTTCCCTCCTTAATTGCCCATTGTCATCCATGTTAGGTAGAGAGCTGCTAATAGGTATAGGACCCTGGTGTTTCTTTAGTTGGGAGATGTGAAATACCGTATGTACTTTGGCTTGGTCTGGTAACTGTAATTTATAAGCCACTGCTCCCACCTTAGCTAATATTATGAAAGGACCAAAATACTTCAGGGATAGCTTCATATTGGTCATATAACTCACAGATTATTGTCTGTAGGGTTGAAGCTTAACATACACCCAATCTCCTACCAAAAATTCTTTGTCACTTCTATGTTTATCAGTCATGTTCTTCATCCTGTCTTGATCCCTTTTAATATGGAATTTCAGCATATTAATACATTCCTCTCTTTCCATTAAGCTCATATCCACTGCCTCAACTACACAATCCCTGAATATAAGGTATATGGAGCGTAGGACTCTGTCCATAAACCCCTTCATAGGGAACCTTCTGGGTTGAGGAATGGTGATTAGTATCATACCACTCTCAGTCAAAGGTATCCAACTCCCCAGTTTGTAGGTCTTTCCCCAGTCATACATCTCAAATAGGTGTCCAAGCATTTGTTAACTGCTTCAGTCTGTCCATCAGATTGAGGATGATAGGCAGTAGACATGTGAAGTTCAACATGCAGGAGTTTGAATATCTCTTTTCGAAATTTGCTCAAAAAAACCTTGTCTTACAATAGTCTTAGGTAGATCCAAGAAGTTTAAAGACATTATGAAAGTAGGTCTTAGCCACCATGGAAGCTGTATATAGTGAGTAAGGAGCAAAAAGTGAGCATATTTACCCAATCTGTCTACCACCACTAGAATAGTATCTTTACCAAAGGATTTTGGTAACCCAATTGTTTGTAATTGCGCAATGTAATTGCGCCTCATGGCACACCTCAGCTAATTCCTAGACTATGACTTAAAAGGCATTGCACTGAGGCGTACGCAATATTGCATACGCAATAAGGCGCTCTGAGGCGTACACAATAGGAGTTCAGGGTGTAAGGGTAATATTTGGGCCACTAGTTATTGATTGGATTTTTCAGTCAATCAAAACAATTAAATTTTCATATCTTAGAATTTTTTTTATAAACGATTTAGAAAGTTTTGGTACTCTATGGTACTTTGAAGTTTGAACATATTACATTGCTAGGATTATGGCCTCTTATGGAGAAGCAAAATAAGAATGTTGTGGCACGATCACCTGCTGAATCTGAGCTAAAAGCTCTTGCCCATGGCTTATGTGAACTTCTATGGATCAGAATTATTCTATTAGATTTACGAATCAAAGGGAAAGGACCAATGGAATTGAGGTGTGATAACAAATCAGCAATCAACATAGCTCATAATCCAGTTCAACATGATCGGACCAAGCATATTGAGATTGATAGGCACTTTATCAAAGAAAAGGTTGAAGGAGGTCTGATCGAACTAAGCACTCCCTCAGAAGATCAAGTTGCAGATGTGTTTACCAAACCTCTGCACAGTCCTAGGTTTCAGGATCTTATTGTCAAGCTAGGCATGACGGATATCTACAAACCTAGCTTGAGGGGGAGTGTTGATAAAACGAAGAGACATCATTAATCTAGGATTTATTTTCCTTATTATTACTGTAATTATGTGTCTTTAGTGCTTCAGGTTGTATTTAATAGTTGTTGTCTTTTCAGTTCTCAATCATTTATGTTTAGTATTTAGACAGTCACCTAGTGTACTGAATAGACTCTCGCAGGATCTGTATAAATAGCTTATGTACTTGTAAATTTCATGGAAATAATATTCAGAAAACTTCAATCCTCTCCTAGGATAATGTAACGAATGCCCTCAAATGTGAGTTTAGAGGTTCCAGTTGAACCGCTAATCGCAGTGATTGTTCCTGACCAACTTTTTGGCAACGAGGATAACAAGAATAAAGCTTGGACTTCATCTTCAAACTTAATATCAATAGATAGTAAACAGGATATGATAGTATTAAACTCATTAACGTGTGAGGTAATGGATGCACCTTCTTTCATTCTGGTGTTTACTAGCTGTCTTATCAGAAATACCTTGTTTGATGCCGATGGTTTCTCATACATGTTTGACAAAGCCTTCATCAAACCACATGCAGTAGTCTCCTTCAAGATGTTGTCCTTATCTAGAGCAGCCCATTCATCATCACTCATCTTTTCTAGTCTTTTCCTTGTCAAAGCTTGATCCAAATCCTTCTGACACAGCAAATCCTCAATTTGCATCTTCCACCATCCAAAATCTTGTCCATCAAACTTCTCGACTTTGGTTTTTCCGTCATCTACCATTGTCCCAGTCCTTCACAATCTGCCGGCTATATTCTTCTGCGGCAGCGCATTGTTGGTGGCACGAGGAGGCTGAAGACGCAGGGCGGCAGCAGTGGTGGTGGTCGAATATGTGGTGGTGGCTAACCTTGCTCTGATACCAGTTGTTAGGGTTAGATCTCACACACGCACGAATCTGAAAAACTAGAAAAGAACGAGAAGAACGGCACACGAATATAACATGGTTCAACCAGTAAGTGTTACTGACCTAATCCACAAGGGCAACTAGGGTTTTCTTTCTTATTGAGATGATGAATGATACAAGTCATAGTTTACAAGTACAGGCGTCAATATATATATAGGCAAACAATCAGGGTAAAACACTTAATAAGGTTCTGGGCCTGACTCCACCAAAGAAACAGGCCCAACTAGGGCTGCTTGCACATTTAACTAGAGCAGGCTGCTGCTCTTTGTTTATTTGGCTCCCAGATCTGAATGGGTCGAAGCCTACAGCCCAACAGAGTCCATTGATCAGCGACAAGCTGATGTTGAAGAACAATTATCTGCCCTCGTACAATCTCTAACCAGCCTCGAAACTTTGCCAACAGCCGTTGCACGCCTGGAACACCTTCCAGCAGCAGTCACGGCATTGACACAGGCCGTGCAGAAACTCGCAATGACAAGTTCCCCCTCAGATCTGCCTGGATTTTGGTCATCGCCGAGAAACAGATAACCGCCATCGAGATAGTGATGACTACATTGTTCCCAGATTTTCCAAATTGGAATTTCCCCAGTTTGATGGTAAGAGCCACCCCCTCATTTGTTATTTCTTGAATGGCAGTCTTCTGTATCACCGGGTATCTATAAGGCCTAACATTGATAACGGCAGTACCATCTAGGAGGTGGATTTGATGATCTCATTCTCTGTGAGATCATAATAGATACGAAAATTGATCTTTCTCTTTGCCCTAGTTTGCTTTCATTCTCCCATTCTCGACCTTGGACGAGGTCTTGTTCGGGCGCTCTTCACAACTTGGTGTCAGCATCAGGCACGATGGTGGGAAATTCAGCAACAGATCCTCTCAAATAGATGATCGAGTCCATTGTTCAGCGACAAGCTGATGTTGAAGAACAATTATCTGCCCTCGCACAATCTGTAACCAGCCTCGAAACTTTGCCAGCAGCCGTTGCACGCCTGGAACACCTGCCAGCAGCAGTCATGGCATTGACACAGGCCGTGCAGAAACTCGCAATGCCAGGTTCCCCTCAGATCCGCCTGGATTTTGATCGTCGCCGAGAAACAGATAACCGCCATCGAGATAGTGATGACTACATTGTTCCCAGATTTTCCAAATTGGAATTTCCCCAATTTGATGGTAAGAGCCACCCCCTCTCTTGGCTCAAACGTTGCGAGCATTTCTTTACCCAACAAAGGACATCACCACAAGCACGTGTCGGACTAGCAACTTTCACACGGTTGGAACTGCTCAGTTATGGGCCAACCAACTGGACTCCTCAGGAGCTGGTCTCACATGGACCGAATTTTATACTAGATGCTCCAGACGCTTCGGGCTCCCTTGCAGCGCCAATCCGGAGGGTGATCTCGTCAAATTGGTCCAAACAATTGATTTGGAATCATACATTGAATCCTTCCAGCAATTATTGGCACGGACGAGCAGCGTAATAGTACGCATGCAGGTGAAGATCTTTACAGCTGGATTACGTGAGGCAGTCCACATGGAAGTGGAAAATCAGGATCCACTTGACCTTGACTCTGCGATGATGTGGGTCCGTAACTGTGAATGCTAATTTGTGCACCGAGGCATATATTGCGTACGCAATATATTGCGTACGCAATAACCCGCTCTGAGGCGTGCCCAACATGAGGTCTGGGTGTACACTAGTTATTATTGATTGGACTTTTCAGTCAATCAATCTAATAAATTTAAATTTTCATATCTTAGAATTTTGTTTTGATAAACGATTTAGAAAGTTTTGGTACTCTATGGTACTTTGAAATTTGAACATATTACTTTGCTAGGATTATGGCCTCTTATGGTTTGTTTTAATATAACATTTGACGACTTTTGATGAATATATACACACACACACACACACACACACATATATATATATATATATATTATGCCTCAAGCATACGCCTTATTGCACAATGAGGCTTACGCAATATGCGATGTTAAAACAACAGCACGATTACGCAGTATGCAATTTTGAAACTTGGTTGGATATGTGGACATGGTAGAAAATAACACTTGAGGAACGAGACAATCAGATAAAAGGTGGGAGTAACCCCTATTGAAGATAAGATGTGAGAGCGTCATTGCTAAAAAACATACCAACCGCAGAATCTGATGAGATCTAGAGCTCATTCCATTCAGAGAAGTCTCTCCTATTTGTCTTTGAGCTGTAAAAAAATAAAACCAGGTCAGGTAGTATGCTGTGACATCATACGTTCGTACAGAAAGACTTTTTTTACCTTCACACATAGACAAAAGTTCATTTAGATGGCTTTGGTCCGTTAGTGTCACTTCTGAAAGTTTCTCAACAACAGTTCCTCTCTGAAGGAAAATGAAAGTCGTAAACAAGCACCTGGTTAATTAAAATGGTAAAATATGATAACTGAACTGTATTAAGGGGCCGCTTGGTAAGGGATTTTTTTGGCTGAAATGTCTGAATAAGTCAGTCCACAGGTACTTATTTTGCTCATAAGCAGAATAAGTGATTATGGCAACCAAACGGATCCTTATACTCACATAGCTTCGAATGCTCACCTCTGGATCATCTAGGAGTCTAAGTGGAGTGTTGTCTGAGCTAAGGAGGTCTCTGACCACTTCATTGTAGATCTCTATAGCGGATAATTTCAGCACGAATTTTCTTTCATTATGCTAAGAAAATTATTCAACAATGTATATAAACTCGTAAATCCCATTTGAGAAAATGTTTCCACTTCTAGTCTCACACCTATTTGTTCACTCCCAGACTTCCCTTTTTACTCTTGATGCACAACTATAGATATCTTAGAAGTTTGGTCCTCCCTACCCTAGTTAGCTTTTTTGCGTTCAAAACACGTTTTTAACCCGTATCGTTTTTTTAGAAGAAAAATTGCGTTTAAAACGAAAAATAATGTGAGTCCGTTTAAAAAGGAAAAAAACTTTCAATTCCCGTATAAAACGTATATTTCCCGTATTTTACAAAAAATAAAAACATTATTTGATCACTTGAATGGGAACATGAAATGAATAGGAGATCAACAATAGTTTAAAAGAAAAAAAAAAAAACCTTATCCCCGTGACCCGGTGTTTTGTATTGTTACAATACAAAATATACAATTGTTAAATACTAAAATTAATTACATGATGACTAAAGCTAGCATCCTAAAAGACTAAAATCTAAAATACTAATATATATTAGATTTGTGATGTTCTTTTTCAAACAAGCATATCAAAATTAAGGTTTTCTTATACCTGACATTTTTAGTATAAACATTTATGCATAAACAATAATAAGTGTAGTAGTCACACAACTTTCTCATGTCATTCATCATCTAGGTGAATTTAACTCGAGTGTCATTTGATGATCATATAAAGATGATGATGTTAACTTGGCCTCATTCTATCGTTATTATGTCTTATTTTCTGACATTACTTTGCAAAATTATGTCTTGGACTTAATTACTCCGTACTATTTTTACTTTTGTCATCGACTTATGCAATTACAAATTATTCTTTTATGTAGTAATGTGATTTACTACTTCAATGTGTACACTCTTATTTCTTTTTATGATATGTTATTTTATGAAGTACTCCGTATATAATTTAAATGTTATGTTGGACTTGATCATTATTTCTTTTTTGACATGAACTTATGCCATCATGAATGCATTTTTTAATGGAATAATGAGATATTATATTTGAATGTGTGTATGTTGATTATCCTTTATGTACTATATGTTTTTTATGCTGTAAAAACTAGTATAATAATTTAATCATTCAAAATAAGACTTGTATTTTTAACCCCAGATTTTTCTAAAAGATGTCGTATGATACACATATACGTATTTACACGTTTTAGAAAAGTCAACGTATTTTTTGTTGAATTTTTGACCGTATTTTTTGTTGAAATTACCGAATAAAACACGTACGTATTAAAACACGTTTAATTCTCGTACCGTATTTAACTAAGTGAGAGGAGAGGACCTGAAGAGGCAATAAATTCATTGTTGTGCAACAAAAGTGAAAGAAATTAAAAGCCATGACATAGAGAGCAACAGTGGTGGGACCAAAAGTGAAAATTTGAATTTGAGAAAGTATGAAATGGTTGAGGACCTTGTGTATGTGTTCATATATATCTTGCAGAGCATACTCGGTAACACCAGACATTGTAAATGTCTTTCCGCTGCTTGTCTGTCCATATGCGAATATACTTGCTGGAGAAGCATTTCGACAAGTGATTAAGCAAATTTTCGCTCAATTAGATAATTAGTAAATAATCACAGAAAAAGTAATAGGGAATCAATCGTACAATTGATGCCATTGAGAACTGAAAGAAACACTTTTTTGGCAGCCTCATCATAAACCTGTCTTGTGGAGCATTCACACCCAAAGACTCTGTCTAATACCATACATAACGGTAAAACAAACTAAGAAAACATTCTTTTTTCAAAACGTTATTGTTATTCCAATAATAATACTTGAGTTAACGAGAAGAAAATCAATGTGAGATTTATTCTTCAACAACACGTACTTTATGCATGCTTACCGAATTGGTAGGCAGTAGGGGTGGATGAACGTTCCCCCTGACTATTCTTCAATAAAATGGTGTTATTATTGATGCATTCCCAATCGGCAAAATCATTCCTAGAAATCTCTCTATCATTTAGAGGTCTCACCCTGATCGAAACAAAGATCTTCTCTTCATGTGCACTTGAACCTTGGGGTGGAAATCCCTCATCCCCACAAATTGGGCTCATCTCCTTAGCAACAAAATTAAAATGCACTTGAAGAGAATCAAAAGTACAGTATTTAAAGCCAAATATCACAAATCTTCATATGGTCCGGCCCCCTCTCTACATGTCAAAGAGAGGACCTAACTTAACAAATAAATACTCCGTATGCCAAATTGAATATAGATTCAGATTCCTTTCTAGCTAGCTTTTCTTCTTATCTGCAGCGAAAAAATACAAAAAAAAAGCTTGGTCGAAACTAAATGCATGGCAGGAAAAGAAGATGGAAATTATGAGAACATTGTTTACCGTTGTTTTTTATCCATTTGATTTGATATTTGTTTTGGCAAACCAAAGTTCCCTTGAGAAAATTAACTAATTTTTATAATTACAAATCACTAGTGACATTTTTCACGAACAAAAGAAAACGGAGAGACGGAAAGAGAAACGATAGTTGTGGCTGCCATTCGCTCCTCGAGCTATAAGTAAGCTTAAAACGGTCATTTTTTAGAATGCAGAAAGAATTACGGAGATACTAAAGAATGGGGCTTCTTTGAGGTTGATATGGAGCCACCGCCGTTCGGAAGCTTTGAATATAATACGGACCATATATGTATGGTTCCCATTTTTGTATGGAAGAGGCCGGTATTTCGCTGTTTCGAGTTTTACATAGACACTGACTAATATTTAATTATTCTTACTTTATCTACTTTTTATATTCTCTTTAATACTTTTATACGGAGTACAATTCACCACCCCTATTGCTTAAATAATTTTACTACTCCAAAAGGAAGTGGAACGTCCATCCATTTTCCTGCCAAAAGATACATACGGTAGTATTTAAAATGGGTCGGGTCAATTGCATGGGTCATGATCATTTTTGTGAAGGTTCATTTTGTCATATCTTACAGATCTATTCTTGGTCAAAGTGAAGTGTCAGAATCCCAGTTATTGCCTTATGGTTTTTTGGTTATCAATTCTGGAAAACACAAAGTTCTAATACGGTTAGTTGTTGACAATTCAAATGATTTTTTATACTCTTGGATTACTCTCTCTGTTAAATATTTAGAAAAATTACTAAATTTATTTTTTTTACATTGAAATGTGTAGTATTTTTTATTTACTAATTATTCAAGGAAAAAAATAAAAGTAAAACATAACTTATAATAATTTAATTAATGTTTTACTAAATTGATACGTAAAAAAATATGCATAGTGTATTTTATTGACGGCGCACGGATGCAGGGAAAAACAGTATTGAAGGAGTCTAAACATTGTTTTCATATGGACGGAGTCCAAATTTAACAATTTGGACTCTTTACCACTACAAATGGTCTTATAACCCATATTTTTAATACTCCGTATATAACGTTAAAAAACGGGTCCGGTTAGATTAAAAAGATACGGAGTATAAGGCACAGTAAGTCATAGCCCGTAGGTTGAAAAGATCACTCTAACTCTCTACCCAATGTTTTTGTTGTTGATCCAGGTGTCGATGTTTGCGCTCCCTTAATCTTGTAGTCTATGAACTACCCTCTAAATCCTCTAGACAGTTGATGGACTATATGGGTCCAGACCTCATGACCCACATACTCAGAAGAATAAGAAGCACAGCTATCACCCAGCAGGCCCTCCGTCGGTCAGATGGCCCTCCGTCGGCCGGAAAGACATCAACTCAGAATATGATCCAGAAGCTAGGAGAACCGAGATGTCCCCGTCGGCCGGGTCTCCGTCGGCCAGACCTCCGTCGGCCACAAAGAGCTCACAGAGCCAGATTTCATACTTAATCAATTTACATACTTTGTATTCGGCCAATAGAGGCCCCATTGTAAACGGGCCTCCTAAGCCCAAGTCTTGGGAGCCCGGCCCACATTTTCTCTATAAATACTCCACTTGGGGGTAGTTGTAGGGGGGTTCAAAAATCATTTAATATAGCATTCATTGCACTTCTCTCTCTAGCTCTCACTTCTCTCTAAGAGGTTATACTCTATCATTTGGTGCTCTCGTTGAGAGGCCCCGTCCAGTGTAGGAGAGATCCCTACATCCTCACCCTCTGAGGACGAGGCGGCGTCCTCGTCCATGTCCTCCTCGTCCCCCTGCTCCCCTAATCTAAACGGACTCAACTCCTCAATTTCCTCGCAACACTCGGCCATTACTTGGTAATCGAGGGACTTGGCAGAGACCTCGTCGTCATACGAGTAGTACTCTTCGTTCAAGGACTTCATAACAACTACTTAAGCCCTAAGGGAGGTTATTTGGGATCTAAGTGGCTCGTTGACTAACACTAGATCGAAGCCTTAAGGGAGCAAAACATACAACAACACAAAAGAACAGGTGAAGAACTCACCTTGAAAAATGTTGAGGAATGAAGAACACTCGAACCAGACTCTCTCTCTCTAGAAAATTGGGCAGCACTTCGTCAGCTCAGGTCGCAAATGAGCATCTCGCTTCGGGGGGAGTGGCATTTATAGACCTCCTTCCAACGGTCACTACACGTGACACCTCCCAAGTGGCCACGCGTACGGGCACCACCCCAAGGACCAATGAGGTTCCACCACTTCAAAGATGGCCCAGACCCGCTTCCAAGGGATACGCAACGGTTCAACGAACCCGCAAGTTGCGCCTACATCGGCCGAAGCACTCAACGGCCACACCAAAGCAGTCAACATCACTTCAACGGCTTGTCCCATATCAGAATGCCACCTCAGCATCAAAATCCCCCAGGTGCGCCCGTATCACCCGGACATATCACCAACAACATGGCCTTTTCAACGGCAACAAAAGCAAAGTATAGTAGAACCTGGCAGCCATCGCCCCTCATATAAAACCTACTGCTCATAACCTCTTGAAAGTGACATGCGTCCAAGGGTTCTCCCATAGGGTTACCTTGGTCAGGAATCGCTAAGGGGTTGGATTCAGATGGAGTACGAGGATCCCGCTTCGGCCTGGGGTTTTGCTTTACTCCTTCACCCCTCACTTATCTTTCAGCCTGAAGCAGTGGGGGGCTGAGGGACTACATCGGATTTCAACGCAAAGATGGAAAAATTGAAAATCCAAGCACAAATATACAACTGCAACAGCATCGTATCGTCTATGAATCACAAACGTTCAGGACCTTGTGGTACACCATCGGCCGAAGCAAAATAAGCAAACAGGGAAGCAAAGCTCACACACCTCCCAGAACGTGACACGTGTCGTCCCTCGATATGTGGTGTTTCAATGGCCTTGGGCCATACGCTCCATCCTCGGCCAAGATAAGTGAAAATCACCCCAACGTCCACAAACGCGTGATCCATCAGCCAAAGTCAAAGGCAGGACATTCATCGTCCACAAAACTAAGGACACACAACGTCCTCGGGTCCAGGACCCCCACCATCCTCAAAGCCATGGGCACCAAACTACGAATGATATCACGCCGGCCTAGAGCACCAAAAGCAATCATGGTGCCTCCTCGACCAGAAGCACGAAAAGCAGCCAAAGAGAGGTCATGTCACCCTAGCGACTGAGACCACTCATCGGCTACTCAAGCCAGGAGAGTAATCGTCCTCAAGCATAAGAGCACGCACAATCCTCAGAGCGAGGACCTTCCCCGTCCACAGCAGAGGCCACACAACGGCCAAACATGGAAAGTCTCCACAATGGTACCGCATCAGCCAAAAACATCAAAGCAACAGGAATCTACTCTCTTTCACTTCGTCTGCAACTCAGCTCAGAGAGTGGGGGACTCCTAATGGAGTATATGGGTCCAGACCCCATGACCCACATACTCAGAAGAATAAGAAGCACAACTATCACCCAACAGACCCTCCATCGGCTAGATGACCCTCCATCGGCCAGAAAGACATCAACTCAGAATATGATCTAGAAGCTAGGAGAACTGGGGTGTCCCCGTCGGCCGGGTCTCCGTCGGCGGCCCAGACCTCCGTCGGCTACAAAGAGCTCACATAGCCAGATTTCATACTTAGTCAATTTACATACTTTGTATTCGGCCCAATAGAGGCCCCATTGTAAACGGGCCTCTCAAGCCCAAGTATTGGGAGCCCGGCCCTCATTTTCTCTATAAATACTCCCCTTGGGGGTAGTTGTAGGGGGTTCAAAAATCATTTAATATAGCATTCATTTCACTTCTCTCTCTAGCTCTCATTTCTCTCTAAGAGGTTATACTCTATCAACAGTTAAATCCAGGTCTGATCACAGTCAGTCTCGTCAGTACTGGCTCCAAAGGACGAATACAGCAGGGCTTACATCACCATTCAGGCTGCTCGACCAACCACACGACCCCACTACATTTATTACCATTCTCTCCTTTCTCAGCCGCTGAGCAACTCCGTGAAGGTAGGAAGAATCATTGGGAGCAAGACGTCCCTCCTCTCCCCTAAATGTGCCTAGCGGGATTCAAACACGAGACCTCCGCTAGGACACGGTAATCTCTCATCCAGTGAGCTGGAATGGGTTGCCCAATGTTTTTCTTGAACAGACAACTCACGCAAGCCTATAGACATGTATAGTCGTTGGCTGGTGGAGGCTACCATGGTCAAATCTGAAGAGTTCCTTTAGAAGATACACCACGCACTCCTCCAGATTCACCTCAAAGAAGGAGCGCTGGTTTGCCCACAAATTGGCCGAAAGCTTCATGTGAGTACGGGATCCCCAATAGACTTTTTTGCCTCAAATGAGACTAAACTATTCCTGAAATTCCTAAATAGGACTAACTATATTTTTATTTCCCAAACAGGACTAGATTACCTATTTACCCCTATTTCCTTCTCTTTAATTTCCCTGCGCAGACTTCTTCCTCCCTTACGGCTACTTCCTCCCTCTGCGCTATTCTCCCTCAAAGCCCAACAGTAGTGAAGTCCATCTTTGCCCCAGCTCACCTGCTCATCTTCTCCCCTTGCTCATCGCAACCGCCATCGTGAAGTCTGCCGCTGCCATCGCGAAGTCCGCCGCCGCAATCGTGAAGTCCACCGCCACCGCCATCGCGAAATCCGCCGTCGCCACCGTCGGAGATGGTATTCTTCTTCCCCATGCTCCCTTTCTTCTTTGATTGTTACAAAATGCCAAGTTAAACTCTAAAATGCCATCAAAATGTCATTCTTTGTCTTCAAAAAATTTGTATTTTCCTTTGCAAATGCCATTAATATGGCATTCTGATAAAAATGTTGGCATTCACACCGTCAACAGGTAGATCTGGAACTGAGGAGGTCAGATTTGCCGCAGTAGATGTCGGATATGGTGCGACGGTGGCTAGATCTGCAGGGGTAGCCTCCGACGGCCGACAGGGGCTAGAGTTGTCCAGATCTCCGGCGACGCTAGCCAGATCTGCATCGCGGTGTCCAGATCTACAACGGCGACCTGTTTTTGAGGTGACGGAGATGTCCGGAAACTGGTGGCGACCGACAGTGAGTGGCGGCGACCGGCAAAAGGCGGTGGTCATGTGTTCTGGTAGCAGCAGTATCACTTCCAAGCATCAAGGGCGTTTTTGTCCAATTACAGATTATTACTCCTGTTTGAGAAATTTATAGACTTTAGTCCTATTTTGGCAATTAAAAATTGATTTACTCCTATTTAGGTAAATACCTCATCCCCAATATGCTTCTTTACGAAGACGAGGTTTAGTTTATTTTTGTTTTGTCCTCTGTTTTATGATGATTTTCGGTTGGATTTACCGATGCGATCAATTGTAGACACCAAATAAAGCTCCTCCCGAGCAGAAATAAGCATTTATAAAATTGGCTTTCTTCTTTAATTTGTGTGAACCTCACAAATTAGTTTTTTTATTTTATAAAAATCTAAAGCCATGTTATTGGCATGTTGCAATTGTAAGTGTGACTAAGGTTTTGGATGGCACCTTAAAAAACTCCATATGAGATCTGACACAACCATGTAGGACAGTATTTGTTAACAAATAATCTCAAAATTATCATATATTTGAATTTGAAAAAGCTATTCTAAAAGTTCTACATAATATGTTAAGGCTATGTTTGGCGGGCCTAAGTTACTGCCTTCTATCTTTTGTACTGATGGATAGTCTACCCGGGGGTATATATCCGAAGGGTTATTGCTGGGAATAACTTAGAGAGAAGTCGGAGCAAGTAAATGTAGAGAGAGAGAGAGTGTGTGTGTTATAAATGTGGAGCGTTTTCAGCGTGGTTACAAATGAGGAAATGGGGTGCTATTTATAGTAGCAATAAATGCCGGACAGGGACACGTGTCAAGCGCCTATTGGCCGAGGGGTCACCTCAACTGGTTGGTGTTGGCAGCCGAATGTGGCCGCATTTAATGCGGTTGTTGGATGGGACGTCTGTACAGGGTACGGTGATCTGTACGCATGTGAGGCGGATATCATGTCGGGAGAGGTGCCCTCGGCTGCAGAGGACTAGCCGAGGGCTCTTAGTGTCGAGGACCCCTGAGTGCCGAGGGCTCCAGGTGCCGAGGGCTACTGTTTTCGCCGTTTTTTCTCCCAGTTCCTTTGTTTGTTCGAAATATCCATGTTGTGATAGTTTGGAACCTTCGGCCAGGGGGCCGAAGGCACCCCTGGTGCGTATTGCGGGCTGCTTGGTACCCTGGGCGCCGTGATTTGGGCCTGTTGGGCCTTCCGGGCCTGTTGGGTCTCTACTGGAGTAGTAGGAGTCTGTGGGCCGGGTGTTCCCGGGCCATATACTCCATCAGGAGTCCCTCACTCCTTTTACCGAAAGGTATTTGAGGGAAAAGGAGTAATTTGTGCTTGCCCTTTGATGTTGTCCTGTCGTGATCTCTGAAGTTGGTGAGGAGTTGTTGCTTTTATGTCCCTGCCGAAGGCAGTCCCTCAGTTACCCACATGTCGGGACTTGAGGGCTCGCTTTGTCGTTTGTTGGAATTTCACTAATTTTGTAATTTAATGATTTTCCCGAGGGGGTCCTCCAGTCCCCCACTCCTTGAGGCACTTGTAAAGTGGTGAAAAGGAGTAGAGTAGTTGCGTTGCTGTTGTGGGCCGAAGGCTGACGCTTTTCGTTTCATTTTGGGGGGATGCCTCGTTAAAAACCTCATTAGGAAAAACCGTGTGGGAAAAAATCCTAATGAGGGAAAAAGAGTGCACCGAATTCCCCCAACGATGAATCAAAAATGTGAAACCTTGGTCAAAAATGGAGAATAACGGTAATGCCGAAGGCTCTCTCTTCTGAGGGCTCCTGTGTTGATTAGCCGAAGGCTTGCTGTTGATGTCCTGGGGGTGTCGAAGGGGAGCCCCTCAATCTTTGGATCGAGGGCCTGATGGATGAGGGCAGCAGTGGAGTTGTTACCAGGGGGTCCACTGCTTGTTGATTAGTTGGTGATGAAGATACCCGAGGGCTCCCATTACCTGTGTGCCATAGGCTATCCGTCAATGAGGCAACTCCTCGGGGGCTACCCGGTTCTTACAGTGCTGAGGGGGAATCCCTGAGGGGTGCCCTGATATGAAGCCTTGAGTTTCTGAAGGAGTGATCCCGAAGGCGTCTGTTATGTGCTGTGTGGGGCGCAACCCGGGGGCGTCTCTGGGTAAGTGTACCCGGAGGCTCTCCTTGATGAAGTGGAGTGAAGTAGAAAACCCGGGGGCTTCCAGAATATAGCCGTTGGAAATATAGCCGTTGGAATATGTAGCGTCAAATTTATAGCCGTTGGGGGGGGGGGGGGTACACGTGGAGTGTAGCCGTTGGCTGCTCGTGGGCGGGCGTCACCGGTTGGGTGAAACGACGGTGCGCAATGATGGCTTTGGCTGCTGGGAGCCCGGATCTCGGCCCAAGCCCGGATCTGGGAGCCTATAAATACCCCAAGCCAAGGCCATTACTTCTTTACGCATCCAACATCCCTAGCGAAGCTCTGCCAAAAATTCTAGAGAGAGAAACTCAAGCCTTCGGTCAAAACTCAGCTTTCAAGGTCAGTGTCCTGCTTTCCCCTCAAAACTTTTAGTAAGTTCCGCCTTCTGGCCTTAGATTAGGGTTAGGGTCCTGTAGAAATCCTTCGAAATCTTAGGCACATTTCGTGATAAAAAATGTCGTCCGAGAGCGATTCCCAAAACATATCGGGGGACCCTTCGGTTGATGAGGAGCACGTTTCTGATGCGGAGTCCGTGAGCGAGCCCTCGGTCGGTGCTGATGCCGCCCTGGCCCGGGAGGTCCAGAAGGAACTCATTGCTGAGGTCGAAGCCGAGGGCTTCGAGCAAGAGTGCGAGGATGAAGACCTAGCCCTCACATGGCAAGTAGCGGAGGATGAGGCGCAAAATGAGAGCACGAAGGTTACAATTGCTGTTCTCCCCCCCCCCCCCCCCCCCCCGGGGGGGGGGGGGGTTCTGGGGAAGCAAGTAGCTCGAGGCCGCTAGATCCGATACCTCTGAGGGCGGTCTCCGGGTTGAAGAAGAAGAAGGCGAAGGCCGCTACCAAAAAGAAGGAGAGGGCTGTCGATCAAGGAAAGCCAGTGGACATGCCCGAGGGGTACAGTTGGTTGAACACTGAGGCCCTCGAGATTAGGTCGAAAGCCGATAGGGCAGATCTGTACGTGACTCAGTTGCACGTGGGGCCCTCGGCCGAAGTGGTGGAGCCAGGTCCTGACGACGTGTTGTCCAGGGCGCCCGAGGGGTGTATCGCCATTCATGTCCTCTCGGTTTCTATGGGACTTAGGTTCCCTCTGCACCCGTTCCTCCGGGAGTACCTGAGGTTTGTTGGTTTGGTCCCCTGCCAACTTACGCCCAACAGCCACTCCTACATTGCGGGGTTCCTCCAGCTCTGCAAGTCCCGAGGGGTGAAGCCCAGCCTGGATCTATTCTTCCAGAGCTTTAATTTGTGCCAGGGGGGGCACGAAAACGGCGAGGGATACGCGAACCTGCAGCAGATTGCCCGTTTCAAACTATTCTCCGATGCTCCTTCTTCAAACAAAGGATGGAGGGAGCGTTGGTGCTATGTGAAGTTGGGCGAGAACCCATTCCCGAGGGAGCTGCGCGATCGATTCCGAAGGCACGAAAAGATCAGGAGTGCTGCCCTCGAGAAAGACGGCCTAAAGCTGGCCAAGTTCCCGGAAGGGAAAAATAAGAATGTGGCGATCAAAGATTGCACCCTCGAGGAGGATTTATACACCCTCGGGTTCCGGAGGTACCGCTTCATAGGGGAGACCGATGAGAAGTATCCTCTCTTCAACAAGGCCTTCGGAGGAGCCGGAGGTAGGAGCTGAGGGCTTTAGATTTTTGTACTTAGTTTTTTTTTTTGCTTGGATGTCATTGTCCCTTCGCTGTAGACCCGTCGGCCTAATCCTTTGTCGTATTTTTGCAGGTATCCCCGTGTCCATGGTGAACGTGAAGGGCCTCGCTCGCCTGAAGAAACAGGACCCGAAGGGGTCTGGACAGGGCAACCAGAAACCCGCCACTGTCCTCTTCAAGAAAGCCGAGGGCGATGCCACAGCCAGCAAGAGGAAGGCGGCGACCAAGGGGTCCCCCCCGGCTACCAAAAAGCCGAAGAAGGGGGATATCACTGATAAGGAGCCCCCAGTCATGATTGTTGATGAGCACCCCGCCTCCGGGGTGCATGTGGAGAAGCCGTCGGGTGGAACGCCGGCGGGGGCAGAGGAGTTGCTGCCTGAGGTCCTCCAAGTTTCGTTTCCGAGGGGTACATCTCTGGCCAGCGGCGCTGTCGACCCGGGGGCCATTTTGAGGGGCATAACCCCTGAGACGGATAGGGCTACCCTCGGGGCTTATAATGATGCGGCCCTCGAGGACCACATTCTCCGCTCCTCCCTCTCTGTAAGTGTTCACTTGGCTTTCTCCATCTTTTCCTTTGATCATTTTGTGTGATTGCCTTTAACCGTTTTTGTTGTTGATCTGCAGGCTTGTCTAGCCCTCGGCGAACAGGCCCGGAGGCTTCAAGAATGGCGCCTTCACAAAGCGGAACAGGACGTCAAAATGAGGGAGTGTATCCTCAAGAACAAAGAGGCGGTGAAGCTGGGGGCCAGGCTAGAAGAGGAGCTTCGGCAGATGAACCTAAAATTGGAGGCTGCAGAAAAGGGGAAGGCTGATGCTGAGGCCGCTGCTGAGGAGGCCAGGAGAGCTGCCAAAGAGGCCGAGGATTCCAAGGCGTTAGCCGTCGCCAAGGCTCAGGAGGAGGCCGTTGACGCCTTCGTCGCCGAGGGTTGGAGAGCCGAGGGGCGCAAGATGTGGGTGTCCTCGGTCGTGGAGGCATGCGTTGATGAATGGGCAGAGGGCTCTGGGTGGGAATGGATGGCCCGGAAGGGCAGAGAATATTATGAGGCCGACGAATTCTTCACCCAGGCCCTCATCTATCGGAGGATGGCCCGACACTTGGGTATTGAGCCAAAGGATTTCGCCCCCTCGGCATATGGCCTCCCTCCCCTGCAGCCTGATGTCCGTGAATCCCTTCCCGAAGGTGTACAACGGCCCGACCTTGAGGACACAGAGCTGAAGAAAGAGGCCGAGGACGACGCTGTTGAGGCCGGAGCGGAGGTATCGTCGAGGCCGGCTGCAGAGGACGCCCCGGGGAATGATGTTGTCGAAGTTGTTGAGTGATTTTATACTTAGAAATTTCTGAACATATTTTGTAATGAACACCGTTGATCCTTCGGCTTCGGCCTGTTTGTAATTTTACACTCATTCCTGTTCTTGATGAATGCATGCTGCCTCCGGGCTTTTCACATTTGAATGCGCCCTATGTTTTGAATGTATGCCTTCTCCTTTTTGAATGTATGTCTTCTCCTTTTTGAATGTATGTCTAGGACTTAGAATATTTCCTAAGTGTTTGAATATGGTTGTAGCCTTCGGTAGTTGGGCACCCTTTGCTGGATGTACAACCGAGGGCTCAGCAATAGTTAGAACTTAGAAAATTTATCTAAGTGTTGATTCCTTGTGTGCTGTAGCCTTTGATTGACAGGTAGCCTTCGGCTATTAGGTCCCTTGAGATGAGGGTGAAATATGTAGGACTTAGAAAGATTTCTAAGTGCAGATTTTCCCTTGGGAGCCTTCGGGAGATGGCATCCCTTCTTGATGTATGAGTAGTTGACCGGGGGAAAAATATGTAGGACTCAGAAAATTTTCTAAGTGTAGATTTTCCCTTGGGAGCCTTCGGGAGATGGCATCCCTTCTTGATGTATGAGTAGTTGACCGGGGGGAAAAATATGTAGGACTCAGAAAATTTTCTAAGTGTAGATTTTCCCTTGGGAGCCTTCGGGAGATGGCATCCCTTCTTGATGTATGAGTAGTTGACCGGGGGGAAATATGTAGGACTTAGAAAATTTTCTAAGTGTAGATTTTCCCTCGGGAGCCTTTGGGAGATGGCATCCCTTCTTGATGCATAGCCTTCGACTGTCATATTCATTTAGCTGCAATATTGATTGGGCCGGGGGCCCATCTTTAGGACTTAGAATTTTTTTAAGTGTTGTTGTATCGCATAGCCTTCGGCTACCATATTCCCTCGGCTGTAATATTGATTGGGCCGGGGGGGCAATCTTTAGGACTTAGAATTTTTTCCAAGTGATGCTTCCTTGTGTCGCCTTCGGGTGATAGGTGCCCTCTGACTCTACATCACTTTGCGAGATGCCCGAGGGATACTCATTTAGGACTTAGAATATTTTTTAAGCGTAAAGTGATGTCGAGCTTCCGGATGTAGAGCCCTCCGGGTATATGAATAGGACCCTTCGGGTGATCGTGGGGCCCTTGAGTTGTATGAGTATTTGATCGAGGGCCAAATATGTGGAACTTAGCAAAATTTCACAGTGTGTCGTAGATGTTGGACCTTCGGTCAGTGAGGAGTCTGTCCGAGGGGCAAATATTTTGGAATAGTCCCCTTGGTTGGCTTTTGAAGATTCGTAAGAGATGCCTTCGGTTGTCTGGTGACATATTAACCTCCGGTTGCTGTCATTTTCCAAAAGTGTGGACTTAGGAAAAGTGTGGAATCCTGTTGTTGTGAAGAAAGCCAATGAGGAGTGTGTGCCCTCGGCATACACTTTGAAAAGTTGTAGAGTCTGACTTAGCCAGTTGTGTCCCTTGTAATGGGGTAGGGGCCCTCTGTACTTCGTCTTGTTTGAAGTACTGTCTAGTGGACTTTGGATAGTCCGGTCCCTTTGTATTGTCGAAGCCTTCGGTGCCTGTGTGACCGGAGGTGACCAAGCAGTGGACTTAGCCGTTTTTTGATGATATTCGTTTGAGTAGTATCCTTCGGGAAATAGGAGCCTTCAATTACCGGAGGTGTTCCCGTGGGGAGCCCTCGGTATGTTGTGACCTGTTGGAGTGTACTCTTTGATTTCTCGCTGAGTCTACTCCCCTTCACCCCCTCTTCTTTTTTTTTGTTTTTTTTTTGGTTGGTGGTGAAGGGAAGGCATCAAGAAACTTGGTTTCTTGGTAAGGCTGGGCCTATTAGGAGACCATCAGAATACACCAATGGCTCTCCTCCCTCGGGTTAACCTTCCGAGTTCCGAGGGGATCGAGGGTCGTTTCCTGGGCACAAGATATGGTGGTCTGTAACCTGCCTCCCCTTGGGGGATGGCGCGGAAAGCGCCTCATTTTTGAAAGTCGTCCCCTCGGCGCTAGACATAGTCTGTGGCCTGCCACACCCTTGGGGTGGTGGCGCGGGGAGCGTTTCGGTTTGGAAGTCGAATCCTGGGCATATCTCGTGCCTGTCATACCCTTGGGGTGATGACGCGGATAGCGTTCCGTTTTTGAAAGTCGACTCCTGGGCATTTCTCATGCCTGTCATACCCTGGGGGTAGTGACGCGGAAAGCGTTTCAAGGAAGGGTTTTCATTTGCACACTAGTTGCAAATGGCCGGGGGCACTACGTGCCGCCGGCACCGATGGTGGCGCCTTCGGTATATGCGTCCTCGTGGGGTACGGCTTTTAGAAACAACACTTGGTGTTAGTTTCGATGTGTAGCCCCCGGTACTTGGTACCGAGGAGTCTTCTGTAGGAACACTTGGTGTTCTCTTTTGTTGCACTTGATGGAGGTGTCTACCCTCGGTACTTGGTACCGAAGGGTCTTCAAATGAAACACTTGGTGTTTTTATCTTTTCTTTTTTGAAGTTGAAGGTGGGGATGTACCCTCGGCACTAGGTGCCGAAGGGAAATAAAACACATGGCGTTCCTTGTCGTTGGTGACGGGAGCTCCCACCCTCGGTACTTGGTACCGAGGGGTCTTGTTCGAAAACACATGGTGTTCTCCTGTTGTTATAGGTGTTGATGGTGTCCGCCCTCGGCACTTGGTGCCGGAGGGGGTTCTTCTTGTGGTGAGGCTTGGGGCCTGTAGTCAGTATGAGGGCGTGGTGTCTTGAATGTGTCTTCATTCCTCAAAAGTGGAGGCCTTGGGCCAAAGGGTAGTACATTCATTAGTTATGAGGGCTTGGCCGCTCTTACATTATTGGTAAAATTTAACTAAATGGTGTACATTCCAGTGCCTAGGGACCTCTTTCCCGTTAGGGCGTTTGAGCTTATAAGTCCCAGGTTTGACGATGGCTGCTATGATGTAGGGGCCTTCGAATTTTGGTGCCATTTTTCCTCCCTCGGTTGGTTGGCTGGCTTCCCTCCTCCGGAGGACATAGTCTCCCACTTGAAATTCTCGGGTGCGAACTTTGGCGTCGATGTAGCCTTTGACTTGCCTTCGGTAGTTTTCTGCCCGGATGAAGGCTTGCTCCCGGCGTTCTGAAAGGAGGTGGAGGTTGAGGGCCATGTTGTTGTCGTTGACCTCGGGGTCATATTGGATCACCCTTCGGGTGGGAAGGGTGACTTCCGTAGGAGCTTTGGCTTCAAAACCGTAGCAGAGGGAGAAGGGTGTTTCACATGTTGCTCACCGAGGGGTGGTGCGGTAGGCCCACAGGATGTTGTGGAGTTCTTCCACCCAGCCACCGCCCTCGGCCTCCAGCTTCTTTTTGAGGCCCTCGAGCAAGGTCCGGTTGGCATTCTCTACTTGCCCGTTGCCTTGAGGGTAGGCAACGGAGGAGAAGGTGTGTTTGATGCCCCATGCCTCCAGAAGGGCACAGAAGGGGGCTGCCTCAAATTGTGTCCCATTGTCGGAGATGATCTGCTGGGGGACGCCAAACCTTGTGAGGATGTTCTTGAGGACGAAGTGACGACACTTTGCCTCTGTGATGCTGGCGAGGGGTTGAGCCTCCACCCACTTGGTAAAGTAGTCGATGGCCACGATGATGTATCTGTTGTTGGAGGTACCCCTCGGCAGAGGGCCCACAAGGTCTATCCCCCATCGAGAAAAGGGGACAGATGTGCTGATGGGGGCATAGTTGACCGCTGGCCTGCCGGGGGCTTTCTGGAAATGTTGACATGCGGTGCACCTCCGGGCAAGGTCATCACAATCTCTGGCCATGGTTGGCCAGAAGTAGCCCTGGAGAATGAGCCTTCGGGACATGGAGAAGGGTCCCTGGTGAGCTGAGCAAGTGCCACTGTGCACTTCCTCCATTGCGACCTCGGCCTCATCTTGATGACTGCACCGAAGTAGCGTGCCATTGTAAGATCGTTTGTAGAGCCTTCCATCTTCGATGGTGTAGCTAGGAGCCCTCAGCTTTGCCAGTTTAGCGCGGGTCTCATTCTCGGGTAGCTGCCCTGTGGAGATGAAGGCGGTGATATCTGAGATCCAATCCTCTTGGCGTTGTTGTATGTTCATAACGGGGCTTGCATGTATACTTGAGAGGCTGAGTTCCTCAATTTTGGCAATTTTGGAGATGTGCTCGGGGGAGTCGGCCGAGAGCTTAGATAATATGTCGGCCTCGGAGTTCTGAGCCCTCGGTATTTGAGTGAGAGAGTGTGCCTCAAATACCTTAAGCAACTCCTTGGCCGCTTCCTTGTACTGCTTCATTCTTCCCTCCTTGGCCTCATATTCCTCGGAGATTTGGCCAACGACCAACTTAGAGTCGCATTTGATGTGGATCTGCCGAGCCCTCATGTTGGCAGCCATCCGAAGGCCACATAGGAGGGCCTCATATTCGGCCTCGTTGTTGGAGACTTTGAAGGAGAAGCGGATTGCATAGTAGGCTCTGAAGCCCTCGGGAGTAATGAGGACTACCCCTCCCCCGCAGGCTTTGGTCGCGGATGAGCCGTCGGTGTAGAGGGTCCACCAGTCGTCCGAGGTAGTCGAGGGCTCCCCGTCCGTGGCTGCCCTTGCGGTACACTCCGTCACAAAGTCCGCCAGGGCTTGGCCCTTGATGGCGGGCCTCGGACGGATGTCAATGTTGTACTGGCTCAAGAAGATAGCCCATTTCACCATGCGGGAGGAGCTGGTGGGGCTCCTCATGAGGGCGCCGAGGGGTTGATGAGTGAGGACCTGAACCGGGTGATCTTGAAAGTAGTGGCCCAACTTCTTGACAGTCCAAACGATGGCTAACACCGTTTTTTCCACAGGGGAGTACCTGAGCTCGGCCTCCCTTAGGGTCTTGCTAACGTAGAAGATGGCATGTTGGATGCCGTCTTCCTCCCGGATGAGCACAGAGCTGATGGCCGCCGGGCTGACCCCAAGATAGAGGTAGAGGGTGTCCCCTACCTTGGGTTTGGAGAGCACAGGAGGTGAAGATAGATATCGTTTGAGCTCGTCGAAAGCCTCCTGGCATTCTGAAGTCCATTGAAAACCAGCCGTCTTCCTCATGATTTGGAAGAAGGGTAAAGACTTCTCCGCTGATTTAGATAGAAAGC